CCTCGCTCAGCAGCAGCCCCCGCACGGCTTTAATGGCACTCATCCGGTGCGTGCGGACCCTCCAGTGCACGGGGTCGTCCTTTGTGTATCTCTAGATGCTCTATAGTGACCATAGCAGCGCGTTCATAAGAAACTCGGTTGTTTGAATAGTTTCTGTTTTATCTTCCCTACAGGCTAGCAGCTTCCAGCAGCTTAACATGATGGGCTACCCCGGAGGAATGCCCATGTGGGGCGCGCCGTGTGACCTGTGCACGCCAGCGCACATGCTCGCGAGCCAAGCCAATGCCTCCGGCATGAAGCGCACAGCGTCCAACCTGTCCATGAACCTCTCCTCCGTTGGCAGCGACGTGACCGGGTACCCGTGGGGGCCGCCGCCTCCCCACGTGCACCACCACATGCCGCCCATGTTCCCGGGCTACTACCCTGGCTACCACCCGCACATGGGCCCGCCTGCGATGGGCTCCCTAAACATGTCCATCCCGGACTCCATGAACACCTTCGGTAAGGTCCCCTCCTCCCCAGCCCCCTCCCTGCGCTCCTCCTCGCACCGCTCGCACAAGTCCTCCAAGTCGCGCTCCTTCAGCGGAGCCGACGTCAGCGGCCGACGCAGCCGCAACAGGAGGAAGCAGCGGTCGGAGGAAAGCGAAGAGAGCCGATCCTCGTCGGTGAGCGACGACGACGACGACGACGGCAGGAATAACAAGGTGGGCAGCAGCTTGGCATGGCAGTGCGACCACTGCACTTTCATCAATTCTGGAGGAGTGAGGACCTGTGGCATGTGCTCGAAGACCATGGGCAGCGGCGGCGGTGGAAGCGGCCGCAGCAGCCGGCGAGGGAGCGAGCGACATCGTTCCGACCGGAGGAGAGACCGACGAACCGACCACGAAGATGACGACCGAGACGTGTCTGATTACGACAACGACGGCGGGGTGGTGAAGAGTAATTTATCTTTCAACATCAAGGACAACAGACGAGAGTCTCGCACGAAGGTTTCGAGCTCGAACAAGAGCAAGAGTAAGAAGAAATCCCGTCGGCGAGGCAGCTCGGCGTCAGCGTCGGAGTCGGCGAGCGACGGCGAGGAGGAGCGGCTGGAGCGACACATGCGGGATCTGCGGGTCTCGTCGTCCTCCCGCAGGCGAGGCAGCGACTACGAGAGCGTCAGCAATAAGGACAGAGACAGAGACAGGGACAGAGACAAAGGCTCACGCAAGAGAGAAGGTAAACTTAGATGGAAGGAGTGACCCTAGCCTGTGTGAATTGCGTGCATTGTTTAACACTTCTGTAAAGGACTGAAGAACGATATCTTGTCTGTGCATCACAGTATAATCCATTTGATAAATGCGGGCATAATAGTATGATCAAATGTGAGATATTTTTTTTGTCTTTGTCCATTTTTATGGCAGTTTTAATGTGCTCATTTTGCAATGTCAGATTTTGCTGAATAAATGCATCCGTTTTAAATGTGTTTCACTCAAAATCCTAAGGAGGTGTATCCTGTATATTACAGGAGGCAGCAGCCGCTTCAAAAACCGAGGGAAGAGCCACTCGGAGCGGTCCAGGACTCCGGGCCGACAGACGCCGAGGAGGGGGAGCCCCGTGGAGGCCGCGGGCTCCCGCGGAGGGAGCCGCGAGCGCAGCCGCAGCGCAGCCGCGAGCGCAGCCCCGCCGAGGACTCGCGCTCCTCGCACCGCAGCCCCTCGGAGGACCGGGGCGACCGCAACAGCTCCCACGAGGACACGGTCGTCAACACGGTGGCGTCCGAAGTCACGGCCAAGAGCGAGCATAAGTCTAAGTCGGACAGCAGCAAACGCAGTAGATCCAGAGCCAGGAGTCAAGCTGAAGAAGTGCCAGACGAGGTCCAGGTTCAGGTGGAGCCCGCCCCTGTGGAGCAGGAACCATTAGAAGCGAAGTCCAGAACGCCGAGCCCGAGGCTGCAGGCGCGGAACAGCAAATCTCCCGCTCCGTCTCAGCGGGACGGCGACGAGCACAGCTTCGCCAACACGCTCGACGAGATCACAACGATGGGGACGAACGAGGTAGCCGACCAGGACCTAAGCAGCCACTACATCGATGAACGCATAAACATGCAACCGGTTGAGGCGCACGACGAAATCCCTGAGGTCATTTTCGTTCGTCCGAAAACACCAGAGGAGGAGGCAGTAGTGGACAGAGCGACAGCCGCTGCAGATCAGCTGATGGCCGTAAATGGAGAAGCCAACGTTGCCGAAGTTCAGCCTGCTGCTCCTGAGCCTGTGGAAAAGCCGGTGAGCCGAATCCTTCCCTCGGAGCCGGTATACGAACCGCGCTATGAGCCGATCGAGGAGCCCCCGGTGAACGAGCCCCCTGTCGCCGCTGCAGAGCCGGACAGCGAGCAGCCCGACTACCAGACCGCCACGATGGGCATGTCGGCGGGAGACAAGGAGGCGCTGGGCGACAGGGACGACGAGCAGGGCGGCGACGACACCCTAGTCGAGGCGACGAGGCCGATGGCCGTGGCCGA